CTCCCGCTGACAAAAGCAAGCTGCCGGCTCTTCTTTCCTTCCTTCCTTCCTTCCTTCCTTCCTTCCTTCCTTCCTTCCTTCCTTCCTTCCTTCCTCCCTCCCACCCTTCCTTCCTTCCTTCCTTCCTTCCTTCAAGGTTAATCTGCTCGCTCTCTCGCTCTCCTTTTTTTTTTTTAATTGCTGTTTCTCACCATTTGATCAGCAGTCCATCTGGGGTGCTGACTCTGACCCTAACCCAACTCTGAATCCGGATCTCTCCGGGTGGGACCCTGGAACCACGTTTTACACAGCACCCTGTGGTCACCCTCAATGCAGGTGATTCTGAGCACGAAGCCTAGGCCACCCTAGGCCACCGGGCCTCCTCAAAAGGAACCTGGAGAGTGAGAAAAAGTTTACAACCTTCCTACTGATAAGTGTTTTCTCAAGAATCATTCATGAATGAATGTCGAAACCATTTAGGCGGAAGTTTGATGAGGAAAGGGATGTTTACACAGCCCCAGAACATGCTCCTCTGGTAGCTTTACACTGGACCAGACACCCCCCCCAACCAAGGGCTTTTGTAAAGAGGATACAATCTCACCTAAATAGTATTCTTACCAAAATTAATCTTTAAACTGAAACTAACCCTGAGGTAGCATACACTCACACTGATGGGAATTTTATAAAACTATCATATACGCTGTTTAAGTGAATCAATGTCTTGAAAACAAGCAAAATGAATAAATATTCTTCAGGATTGGGGGAGATTGCTCTAAAGTACAAATGGTGAAAGTTTATTGTGGCCCTGTATGAAATGTAATCAGCAAAAGCCAAACTCACGGCTACCACGTTGATGCTGACTCAGAACAGGGTAGAACTACCCCTGTGAGCTTCAGGCTCTTAACTCTCTCCAGGAGTAGAAAGCCCTATCTTTCTGCTGACATTGCAGTTTAGTAGCCCACCACTCCGCAAGCAAGGCTTCTATACTATGGAATAGTACTGGCTTAATAAGTTAGATACTGAGTTTGACCATTGAACTGTGATTATGTGCGAGAATATCCTTGTTCTTAAGACATACGCACTGAAGATTTTGGAGAAGAATCGGAGTCACTGAAACCTGGATTCAAATTCCAGTCTTTTAATTACTCAACAGTATCATTTTCATCGTCCATGAAGTGTGGAGGTTAACAGAAAGGAAATACACATGCCAAACAATACATTCAAGTGTGGGGAAAGAGCTGATAACACCAGGAAATAGTCCAAACTCACATCATCATTCCAACTCCTAGTGACGCTGTGTAGGGTTGCGAGGGCTGTAAGTCTGTAGAAGCAGACAGGACAGCCTCATGTTACTCCCACAGAGTGGCTGGTGGGGTTCAGCCTTTGGGTTAGCAGCCCTCCACACTGTGGGTAATTTGAAGGAGACGAGGAAAACAGGATGAGCCCTGCAAAGCCTTGTTATTCTTCAGGCAGTCGGGGAGTGGCTGGAGATTTCTCAGTAGTGCCGTTCCCTAAAATTGTATGAACTTAACCAGAGGGGGTGGAACCAGCAGTAGGGTGACCAGTCAGGAGGCAAGAATAATAAACAGCTGTACTGGGAACAGATAACCAAAAAACCAAACTCACTGTCATTGAGTCAATGCCAACTCAGATTCACCCTTCTGAGACTGTAACTGTAGGAATAGATAGCCCTCTCCTTCTCAGAGCAGCTGGTGGTTTCAAACTGCTGACCTTGTGGTTAGCAACCCAGTAGGGCTCCTTTGGGAACAGATAGGAAGGGATAAATTGGAAAGACCAGAAGTGAAACTGATTAGGAGGCTTAAGTGTTTCAAGATGACAGGGCTTGAACCTGGATAAATGGGAGAAAGGTGATGCTAGAAAGCATCAACCTGTGGGTCACGGCCCTTTTGGGGGTCGAACGACCCTTTCACAGGGTTGCCCAATTCATAACAGTAGCAAAATGACAGTTAGGAAGTAGTAATGAAAATAATTTTATGTTTTGGGGTCACACCACATGAAGAACGGTATTAAAGGGTCAGGCATTAGGAAGGTTGAGAACCACTGCTCTAAAGCAAACAAAAGGAAGATTCCACAAGTAAAGGTCCATGTCACTGCCAGTATCATTCACATTGCCTCATTATTTAACCCCATACACCACGTGGGGACTTCAATAAATTCATGGGGAAAATGGACTTAGAAGCTCATAGCATTTTCCCCACACACTTTTTAAAGCCACCTCGTATTCTAAAGCAACATTCATAGGGTGTTACAATGGATTACTATGCAACGTTAAACATTATGCTGGGTGAAGTTAGTCAAGCACCTAAGGACAAATATTGTGTGAGACCACTGTTACATTAAAAAAAAAATGAGAAAAGGTTTTCATACCCAAAGAAACAGACTTTGATGGCTACCAGGAATGGGAGGGGCAGGGAGAGAAGGAAAGCAATAGGCTAGAGGGGAAATGGCTGTTAACTCAGGTGAACGCTCCTTGCCATGCAGGTCAGGGTAGAACTGCCCCTTGTGGATTTCTGAGACTGTAACTGTTTACAGTTGGCAGAAAGCTCCATCTTCATTTAGGTGAAAGGGAAGATTACACTACAAGAGGGAAATGGGGGGAAAGAGGGGGTAAGGCAGGGAGAGGAAACAGTGAAATCATTGTTTTAAATTGTGGAATGTAAATACAATCTAATATTCAAACCCCCACCTAATTCACAATAACAAGTTTTTAAAAATGTATAAGATGTTATTTGCAACTAACAAATACCTTGTTTTTATGTAAGCTTTTCTTCTCTTTGCTTCTGATTTTCTTGGGCAAGGAGCAAGTAGCTATAGCCCATGTACTGGAAGACTTTTGGTCATAACTAACTTAAAATGTCCTGTCCTTCAAGCAAAGAAATGTCAACTAAAGTAAAAATTCAGTTAACGTAGTTCATAAAAGCTAGTTCTAGGAGGATAATAAACCCTAAGCAGGAAACTCACTATGTTATTCAAGTGTATCATTATAGACCAGCGTTTATTAGCAGGGCCTCAAGCAATTATTTCATCATCAAAAGTTTTCTTAGAACTTAATTTATACAAAGACATTGTGAAATATTTGTCAAAACAACAGAAGCAAGTAATTAGTATGCACTAAACCTATGCTTAAGAGCTTTATTAGAGACTGTACTAAGGAATAAGTATTATTGTTTCCTTTTTATTTCTCCATTTTATAGATGAGACTAAGGTTAGAAAACTTGAACAAGGGTAAACAATTCAGTGACTGGTGGAGCTGAAAGTTAAAGTCTGGTGAAATTCAACAGCTTAGAGAGTGTCTTACAGTGAAAATGTGGGCTTCTTGTTAAAGATGTTTTTAAAATGTTTTCTTTTTTAACATATTTTACTAAAATGTTTTCTTCTTATACAGCTTTGTTGGGATATAATTTATACACCATACAATTTAGCCACTGAAATTGTATAATTCCATGGTTATTAGTATGTTCACAGATATGTTCAACCCTTATACAATTTTAGTATATTTTCATCACCTTAAAAATAAATGAATAAATAAAATCCATAGTCTTTAGCTATTGATCCTAGGTTCCCTGGTCAGCCCTAAGCAGTCACCAACTGACGTGCTATCTCTCGATTTCTCCGTTCTGGGGATGTCCTCTGAGTGGAGCAAAGAAGGTCA